CCTTGGTGTTTCTCAAGTGTGCTCATGAATAATTCTCCAAGATTCTACATGGCATCACCATCTCAGCTGATGCTTGCTGTTGAGACTTCCCTTTTTCAAAGCTGTGGGAAGGCACTTGCCCTACTCCCCAAGCTGATTATGTGCCAGTCTCTGGGCTCTGGGCTAAGGATACAGTGGTGAACGAGATATTCCGTTCCTCAAGGAGAGCACAGTCTAGCAGATGAAGCTTATTGTCTATATGATATGAATTTACTTATATCAGTTAACAACACTGTAATAGAGAAAATTTCTGAGCAATTTCCTATAGACTATAAATGTATTTGAGATATTTTATAAAATTCTCAGTTTTATCCATGTCCTTCACATCTGCTGAATCCTCTATAATCCTCAGCATCTCATCCAAATCCAAAGACCTCAGCAGGCTAAGAGGGGGAGCTATGATTGGAAGAGCTGTTTTAGGCTTTAACCTCAGACCCAGTCCATTTTGGGCAACAGAAAACTGTTCTACCTTCTTTGGGGATATGGGAATAAGAAAGAGATCCTCAATCTTGTTAACACTCAGGAGGAAGAGAAGGGTCAGAGATGGGAGATGTTTGTGGGTGGTGGAGGAGAATGAGGGACGTTGAAGGAACCTACCAAGTATACCCAGGAGAGGAGTCAGTTCACCTCATTAAAGTGGTGTGTGTGTGTGTGTGTGTGTATGTGTTTGTGTGTGTGTGTGTGGGTGTATAGAGGGGCTGGGGGAAGGATTACATTTTGCTCACCATTGCATCATCACTCTCTTTCACGTCAAAGTACTTGTAAAACAGGTTATAATTAACTAGCTAATGGAACAGTTTTGGCCAATTGTATTGTAGACTGGCTACTTCCTCATGACATTTATATGATGGAGGGATATTTATACTTTAATCTCATCAGCCACACTCAAACCACAGTGTGGAATGGGCTGCCAATGAGAAGGTTTCACTTAGGCAACTCATTCAAGGCCCAAGCCGTGAATTTTGTCATTGAGAGAAGTACTTCCTGAAATGAATTTCTTATTCTTTTCTTGTCCTCGGTCTTTGCTTTGAGGATTTTGGATCTGAGCATTGACTATAAATGCTATTTGTAAAAAGGCCTTTTTAAGGGCGTGAGGGATGTTAAGAATGTCCAGTCAGGAAGGGACTCATCAAGTTGTCTTGGGACTTATCAACTTGCTTCCTTTTGCATAGGATAGCTTAGTGGTTAAAAGTGTGGACTGTGAGTACACCACTTACTAGCTGGTGACCTTGGGCAACTTACCTGACCTCTCTATGCCTCAGTTTCCTCATCAGTAAAATAGAGACAACAGTATTACCTACCTCATAGGGTTATCATGACGATTAAATGGGTTGATACACGTAAGGTGCTTAGAACAGTGCCTAGCATATATAAAGTGTCAGCTAGTAGTGTTGTAGTTGTTGTTATGATTAGGGCAGGTCTGTGTTCAATTCAGAGGGGAATCTACTCTGTTTCAACACTCGCTTATAAGAATGGATTTCCTCATTCCCTACATCATTGCCTCCAAATGTTTATTGAGCCTCTGTTGCATCCAGAGTCCTATGCTAGGAGTACAAAGATAAAAGGCAAATTTTATGAACTTCTTGAGGACTTTCCTAAGTGGTTAGGGAAGGCTTGGTATAGGAGTAGGACTTTAGCTGATGGGACTTAGACAAGTGGAGAGAACATTCCAAGCAGAGGTGACTGCGTGAACAAAGGCACACAGTGGAATGTTCTTATCTGATGGAGGGATTAGGCAGCAGAGATATGTAACAGCCAGATACGGAAGTCTTTGAATGCCAAGTTGTTTGTAAGCCTCAAAACAGTGGATGTTTTTGAGTACCAGAGAGACCAGTGAAATAAGAGTTTTATGAAGTGTCACCTGTAGCAGCAAAGAAGTTAGGGATCCATCCATCTATCCATCCATCCATCCATCCATCCATCCATCCATCCATCCAATTATCCTTCCTCCCTTCCTCCCTCCCCTCCCTCCCTCCCTCCTTCCCTC